CCATCACGACTGTGAACCTCTTTGAAAGAACAAGCTTTTGCTTTATATCTTTTTTTTTTTTTTTTGGTCCATGGTGTTAGGCACCATCTCCAGCATATCTAATAAAATGTTTCTGACTTTCTATAAATTGCTTCCTCTGTTTGCTTTCCTACCAATAAACATTTAGAGGGATGGAATCTTGTGAAGCCTTAGCACTGTGCCTTGGTGTTCAGTAAATAGGATTGGAAATAATGTTAATTGCCTTTGGGATCTACAAATATTATCTGCCCTAAAACTCCCTAAATATACTCCACTAGCAAGTTGGGTGTCTTTGTTGCCCGACACTCTGAGTAGATTTTGAGCTGCTACTTGTTTCCATTGCTATCATTCCCAGTCATTCTCTGACATAAGAGGAGAGATGCCATCTCATTACAAAGTAGCTGATTGCTTTCCTCCACCCTATTTATAGTCTACTCTCAGTCTTTCCTAGACTCTCCATTCTACTTCAGTCAACTCCTGCATGCTCAGCAGCTCCAAGGCTTCACAATTCACAGATAAGTATGAATACAGTCAATTTCTAAACCACTTGCTGTCAAGTTGATTTGGACTCATGGCAACCCATATGTGTCAGAGTAGAACTGTGTTACATAAGGGTTTTCAATGGCTGATCTTTTGGAAGTAGACCATGAGGACTTTCTTCTGAGGAGCCTCTGAGTTGACTTGAATCTTTAACCTTTTGGTTAGCAGCCAAGTACTTTAACTGTTTGCTCCACCAGGAACCCGATGAGCTGTATAAATGAGTTCCTAAGAAAATATCTCAGTTACTTTTTTCCAAAAATACCCTTTCAGATTTAATTAAAACAAATAAACAAACAAACAAACAAACAAAAAGGAACTACCCGTTGAAGAAGGGATTTTTATTCTCTAATGCACAGGATGTAAAATCCCTGAAATTAAAAAACAAAACAAAACAAAAAAAACCTTGTTACACTTAAATCCTGCTAATACTAAATTATGTTAAAATTTTAGGATGCCTCTAAAATGCTTTCTCTCATGCTAAATTCTTGGCTCATATTCTATTTTAAACCATGAGCTACTACCAGTCATCATAGACCGTACAAAAATTTGGTAACTTAGGTAATTCTTTGCAATTCTAGGCATGAAATCTTAAAAGAATGCATGGCTTACACGTTTAACTTTAAAAAGATCTTCCTACTTTTCCGGGCTAACATATTTATCACTAGACAAAACTCATCTACTCAACAGAAAAACACGGGGAAAAAACTTGTAGAAATGCTGAATTAAAGAAGGAGAAACACCCTCCTTCTCCAAATCGCTGCAGCAAGTTGTAAATGATGTATGAAATGACAAATCCTTGCCCAACGAACAGGAAGAATATAAATACTGCTCTGTAATCACTGCAGTGATGTTCTATATTTGCTAAAATTTTCTGCTTAGATGAACCCAGAAAAATCTCCTCTCATCTATGAATCCAAAAAAAGGAACTCACCAAAAAGTATATTATTTTACTGTATGCAATAATCTCTTCCTTTTATCCTTTTTTTCCCTGCCATAAAGACTTATTTATTAACTATTAAAATAGCTAAGTGTTCCTGAGGAGTTTGTCTTACAAAAAAAAAAAAAAATGAGAAGTCAAAATACAAATATTGGATTATTATATGAGGAATACCAGATTCAATCTGGGTTTGAATCTAGATGTATGACTTTGCACTTTTATTTTCCATTTCCCTTACCTTCCATCTTTTCCTTTGTGAAATGAACTGAATATGTACCCCAAAATTACAAAGATTAAATGAAATAACATGAAGACATAAAGTCCTTAGAACTATATTAATTATTTATTAAAATTCAGGTCAATCTTTTCCTCTCATTTTCTGGTGGTGAAAGGAGTTTCGATGGCACTGTGGTTAAAGCACTGGGCTGCTAACCAAAAGGTTGGTGGTTCAAACCCACCAGGTGCTCCATGGGAGAAAGATGAGGACGTCTACTTCTCTAAAGATTTATAGCCTTGGAAACCTTCTGTGGTAGTTTTGCTCTCTCTGATAAGGTCACTAAGCATTGGAAATGACTCAATGGCATTAGGCTTGCGTTTTTTTTTTTTTGGTTCTCTCATGGAAAATTGTCCTATTTTGAATTAGAAATCTTAGGTTTTGATTTTTCTTATTCTATTGGATAGTTCACTTGGCCTTTCTGAGCAGATAGTAGCTGACTTTAATTAATAAGAATAGATATTAATTTTCTCCCATGAGAAAAATATGTGACAAGTACACTTTAAAATATTAAATAAGTACAAAGTATTATTATTACAAATTAACATACCTGAATCTAAAATATATGCACACATAACATTCAGGTTTCTATGAATTTGCTCTTCGAGGACATGAAGACCTATACTTGTATCTTATTCAAAAATCAGATATCATGAGAATTATCTTTGAACCGTTTCTTTAAAGGCATATACATTGGAAGAGTCTCATAATAAAAGGCGAGACATCCTCAGAATGCAGAGGTGAAGGATGAGCACATTAAAATTGGACTCTAAGATGCTTGGTTTCACATTTAAAATTAAGTTGTAACTTTTCTTTTTCTATCTTCATTCTCTATGTATTATAGAGTTTCTCTAACTAGCTATGGAAGTTGGTATTGAGTATCTGTCTACAAAGTGCTACCCAATGCAGACTACTCTTCCTCTCTGCAGATGCAAGTGCAAGTTCCCATTGGAAAATAAGCCTTAGGTCCCACTATGTTTCAAGCAACAACCAATACTTCCAGAAATTTTGAGGAATTTTACCTAGTAGATGATATTGTGAAAAAGAAATTATGCCATGCCACTGATAAGAATCCATATCAAAGTTCTACTTTCAAATGAGGTGACATCCCTATTTTAATGTATAGCTTCATAGGCATAAAAATTAGGTGATCACCAGAGGAAAATTAAGTAATTTTAAAAATCTAATTTAATTCAGTAATAAGCACATAAACGTCATAAGACCACAGACGAAAGAAACTGAAAGATATACCCCAACCACTAACAGGTTCATTTCCTACCAGGGGAGGAAAAAAAGAAAAAATAATGCTCAGTAAGATTTGAAAAGAGAATTAGGCCAATTCATTTTGATTCTGTAGCAATACTTTGAAGCTTACTTTTCAACCTAGTCTGTTTTACATTTCCAGATGCCATGAAAGACAGTGTGTCCAGAAAGTAGAACCAATAGGGATTTGACTATTTCACTTCCCCCACTGTAGCAATGATTTGGATCTTACTTTTTCGGAAAGCATCTTTAAAGAATTCTTCAAGCTGTCTGGAGAATGCTGGCTTGCAGAATTAAGCAGTAAGTCTGCATGGGTTGCTATAAGAGGTTGTAGTTGATTGATGTTGCTGAGAACTTCTTTTGCTTTGGCTGTGTTTTCAGGTGAATAGTAAATAAACTGGTATTCAGTACTGCAACAACAAAAATAAAGGCAGATTACACAAAAAGCAAAAACAATTTGTAGCCCTTAATACCAGGTGGCAAATGATAAACAAAACTCCATATAACGTTACTACCTATTGAATAGATAACTGTTCTAAGAAATACTTGCAATGTACTAAGGTCCCCCCACCCCCCACTGTTACAGGGTTTATTAGGAAAGTAACAGGTTAAAACTCAGGATCAGGAAAGACTCAGGGTATAGTTCTTTGATCAGAACAACCTCCTCTCAGGCACACCTCTCTCTGGCCCTCACACTCTCTTGGCCCTTCAGGCCCTCAGCCTGGCCTCTACCTGAACTCTGTCCTGCTCAGGCTAGAGTTACAAAGCTCTTCAGCGCAGCCAACAAGTGCCCGGGGGCAGAGGTTGAGTGGGGGGGGCGTACCTCATTTCATCAGTAAGCCTTGGCCTAAGGGTTTCTTCTTGTCAGTACTAACGGTTTTTAAGAAACCTAGCCAAGTTATTGTTTAAAGCTAGGTAAAATAAATTCAGTTTTTTCTCAAGCACTAGGAAGCTTCTTTCTGATTATGTATAACAAGTATTACTATTTGAAACAAATTATTATTATTATTAATTACTAATAAAGTTAAGACCACACAGTATAGAGCAAAGGGCATGAGGTTTTTATATTCAGGACAATCTAGATATAAATCGTTGCTCTGAAATTTACTAGCTGGGTGACCTTAGGGAGCCTTCAGCTTTCTCATCAGGAAAGTAGGAATAATTATCTAACACTTACATGAGTGAAGAAGTTTAGAGATCACTCATAGGAAGTACTGAAAAATGGTGCTTGTTTCAGAGTGTGCATTCAATAAATATCATAGTTGTATTTTCCCCTATGATACTCAGGGAGAGGGGGTATGTTTTTATAGCCAAGAAGTGGAAAGAAAATAAATCAATGCCAAATTTGCATATGAATAGTTTCATTGGACAGAAAAAGGACATTTGTAGTACACAAAATCTCATCATGCTGCTTTATCACTATGCTTTTCTTTTTCTTTTTTGTCACTTGTGATTTCCCATATAACCTGTAAAGAAATCTAAAATATTAATTGATGAATTACTGACTTTTATAGTTGTTGCCTAGGAACTAGTCAAATATGTTTGGGGTAGAGATAATTTAGGAAAAACAGAGGAGGCATTTGCCAGTATGTGACATTCTTACAAGCATTTTTCTTCCTGTTTCTTACTTGAATTTTATACTCTTACCTTTCAGAAGTGGGGGATTAAAATAAATCATGCTTTAACTACTTACTAAATATTTTTAATGAAAAGAACAAAACAATTGACAACAATCATAGGAGTAGAAAGAAAGAAATAGTCCCCACAAATGCTTGTGTCTCTTTCTGGTTCATCGCCTGGTTGAGAGTGATGATCTTATCTGACAGTATGTTGTTGTTGTTGTTATGTGCTGTCGAGTCGGACCGAACTCATAGCGATCCCTCCTTGGGTTTCTGAGGCAATATCACTATGGAACTGGATTGCCCCATCTTCCTTCCAAGGAGTGGTTGGTGGGTTTGAACCGCCAGCCTTCTGGGTAGGCACTATGCTACCAGAGCTCCCACCTGACAGTATACAAGGTCTTTAATAACATCATGAGCTGAGAAGTCTCCCTACTCATCTGTACTCAGACTAGATAGAATGTTCAATTCACCAATCTTTAGTAAAGCAAGCAACACTGTTACTTTTGCAAAGAAAATGGTTATCTAAAGAAAGATGTAAATGTGTCACCAGGAGGAGGACTATATTGAATACCTAGTAGCTCTGCCATAAAAGAGCAGGACCTATTACAGAAAGCAGTGTGTGGCAACTGCTTTGTGCTTCCTGTTACCTTTCTGCTCTTCTGTCATTATACTCTTCTTTCTGGTGTTGACTTATTGGTACTAACAGGGCTCCATGGCTTAGCTCTTGAAAAGCTAGAGTGCTAAAGGCAATGTGTGGTCTTCCATCTTTCTCCTCACATGACTCTCCTCCTTTTCAGCATATCATTTCTAGTCTCTCATACACTCACTCTCATGTATTATTTTTGACTCGTGTCACCATTGCCTTCTTTCTTTATACATATCATACTTCTCTGAAAAATCACTGTTACTTTACTCATGAACATACCATACTTACCATTATTTTTTTCTACATAGTCTTATGCCCCAAACTCCATTAGAGTTTCCTCTCCATTTGATTCTAAATACATATATTTTCAAGATTTATTTCTTACATAGTCTTTTTTTTTATATATACTAGTTCAGTGGTGTTCAAATTTTAGCAGGCATAAGATTCTCCTGGTTAGGAGGATAGGGATTAGATAACTATAAGTAAATGCAGATTCCTTGTCAACACCAAGAGACTCTTATTCAATAGGCTGCAATATTTGTAAGGTGCACCACAGAAGGTCCAGATGCAGGTGAGAGTTGCACACCTATAGAGAAGCCACTCCCATTGTTTTTGTGAGATACCCACTAAACCATGCTCTTCCTATAAAATGACTCTGATAAAACTTTCACCTAAACTTATTCTAATTTTCTTAATATTTTTAATAAGATTACTTATGTAGTCCATATTCATAGCATGTTGTTTTGATTCCCTTCTCATTACCAGTGATGTCTCTCCCAACCCTTTTTTCTGTCCTTCCATCCTTTCTCTTCAAGTCACTTGCTCCCTCCCCATCCTACCACCAATATAATCCTCAATCACCATCACAGGACAGAAAGTACAATGCTAGCCTCCTGCTGCTAAGTCAGTCTCCTTTCCAGCACAGTTATGTAGCAAGCATTAGTTCTTCCTATTAAGGCTTTTAATGATGAGCATCTTATCTAGTGAGGCTAAAAGATTCATTTTCCATAATAAAAGCCAACATTGGTGTCCAGGATGAAATAGGATGATATAGAAAAAAAGTATCACCACTCACAAAGTAATTTTAACTATACATAAATTTCAACTACCTATTCAGTGCCTTACTCTTCAAACATGTTCTATATTTTAATAGTTATAGCTTTTTAAATGTAAAGTTATGAGTACAGTTTAATTATCTAGATAAAAAGAATATAGCTAAACTCTATTTTATAGTGATCTGAAATTTAATCTGAATCTAAACATTTGAATCAACTATTAATCAGACAGAAACAGAAAAAAAGACCATATTTTTGTGGACAAAAAAATATCTGATAGGATATAAATAGTATAGCAAATCATGAGTAATAAATACTGAATTTATTTTCATAATATTTTTATACTAATTAAGGAACTTATGTATATACATATATGCTCAAAACTCACTGCCATCGAGTTTGATCTGACTCATAGCAACTTCTCTGGGTTTCTGAGGCAGTATCACTATGGAAGTAGATTGCCCAACCTTCTTCTGAATATACATATATATGTGTCTGTATATATATATATGTGTGTGTGTGTGTGTGTGTGTGTATGATGTTGCTACTAGTAGTGTCATCATATGGTTTTGGAGATGTAAATAAGAGTACAGCATAGAGTAACATAATATTCATATTCATAAACTCCAATTGCCAACCAAAATACTACTAAAACTAGGATCTATCTATTTTTAAGAGTATATTCTGTCCCATTCCCTTTTTGCTGGTCCTCCTTATTTCCCTATCAACTAGTCTTGATATGTTCCATGGCTAAGTCCTTGGAACTCTTCACTTTTTATGTCTTTCCAAACTGACCTCATTTAGTCTCATGGTTTAAGTAACTTAGTTGTGCTAGTTGTTATTGTTAATTGCTGTTGAGTTGATTCTGACTCATGGGGACCCCATATGTGTCAGAGTGAAACTGCTTTATAAATTTTTCAAGGCTATGATCTTTCAGGACCAAATTGCTAGGTCTTTCTTCCAAGGGGCCTGTTGGTGGCTTCAAACCACCAACTTTCAGCTATTGCTAGTTGAGCATTTTAACCTTTGCACCATCAATGGACTCCCTATTTCTCAAATTCATATCTCTAGAGTCAAACTTTTACATGAGCTGCAATTACAAAAAGCTGTCCTTCTGACAGCTCCTCTTCAAACTTTAACATGTCCCAAACTAAGCTCTTCACCTTCTCTTCATCTTTTCTTCATCTATCAGTTCCTTCCACACCCTACCTCATCTTAGTTCATTGTTGTTAGGTGCCCTCAAGTCATTTCCGACTCATTGCGACCCTATGCACAGCAGAATGAAACACTGCCTGGTCTGCACCAGCTCCACAATCCTTACTATACTCAAAAATAGTTCTTAGTTCATAGTAACTCTATTTCTCCAGTTGCATAAACCAAAATCCTTAATATAGTCTACGATTCCCCTTTTTCTCTCCTACTTTGTGTCCAATTTTTCACCAAAACCTAATTTTTCTTCCAAATATATTCACAATCCAACTACTTATTTCCACATTCACTGCCACCATCCTGGTGTTAACAACCATCGGCATTGACCATCAGGATTATTATAACAGCCTACAAACCGTTCTCCTGTCCTCTATCTTTACCCTTAACTGATATTTTTAGATATATAACTCTCTAAGTGATTGAAATAATTGCTTTATGCTTAGGATTTGAGAAGGTTAGGAGGCAGGCAAGGAAGGAGAAAGAAAAAAGTCTTCTCAAACTCCCTAAACAAAACTTACTTATTCTGGAACTTAATCTCTTTCTTATCTTGTCCATCCCTCCCTTATTCCACTACTATTTCCATTCCTTAGCCTATCTTCTCAGCCTACCTACTATTTTGGGGAGTGGAATTATGCAAAAAATGTAGACATCAATGATGAATATACATAGGCAAAGAGGGAAAAGACAGAGAAAAAGAGACATGGGTAGAAGAGGATTAGGATCAAACAGAAGAGGAAAAATGCTTTGGAGTGATGGACTTTTGTACCTGTAGCACAGGTAAATATCTAAAGAACAATCTTAGAACTACTTCTACTTATTTTTTTTCCCCCACAATCTTCACCCAAATCCTAAAAAAAAAAAAAAAAAAAAAACCCTCA